ACTCGGCCACCCCACAAAAACACACACGAGGCTGACCGCAAGGTCTGACTTATTCTGTCAGTCGACAACCACCGGAAATCCTACAAATGAACGGAGTTTTCCAAGCCAAGAGGTAAGCGATCAGAGACAATAGTGTAGAAAAGTAGTGCAAACGCTAGCAGAACAGGACTGAAACGTACTTGCTTATATCTGCCAGACTGTGAGGGCACCCAAGGAGATGTGTCTATTTCGCGAACCAAAGCTTCCTCCTCAGTCTCACTAATAAATTCCAGCAAGACAGTCACTCCATGAAAGGATGGTCCATCAAGATGATCTTCACACGGCGATAAGGTGGGAGAATCAATATACACATGACCACACTTTTCGCAGTATATAAATTCCGCAAACTTTTCTTCCACCTTTAAAAGGATCATTTACAGGTTAATCGTGAAACTTACCGATGGCGCAATCACTGATGCTTTCCGCTCCTCGCATAACTTACAGGCGCGGACTCCCTTGCATCCACACTCAGACATGACTGTCGATTATCAGGAATGTGGAAACTGAGTGTCGGCAGGGATGGTGGAAGCACGTAGTCTGAAATAGAGACCAAAGAACGCAGGCACTAATATCAGCAAATCGGCGATATTCAACACGTAGAATCACACAAGAGTGGAAATGCAGGCCAGGAAGCATCATGCAACACTCGCCCTGGTGATATCTCCCGTAATCTCGATTGTAATTTCAGAACCCGTGGAGGTAAAAGTGATTTAACAGCAACAGATGGGTTCCAGTGCGAATCCGGAATGTCACGAGTCCGTGGGAAGAATGCAGAGATGATAAGGCAAAGTATCCAATAATAACAAAATAATAAAATCAAGCTCATTAATTCCAGACCTTAAGGTTGCAAATTCATTAATGTAAGTATAATAACTTTCACAACACTCTGAGTAGATACGGCCAACTTGCTGCCCCGTCTTGGTATCTGGGCCCTATGAGGTGTGCGGCAATGGAGGCACGTAAGTAAGTTTTACTGCCAGAATCTGGTTTGAAGCGCACACGATTCCCCTAACTTTGAGTATAATCCCATGAGATGAAACGCTCGGCATTTAAATTTCACTGAAAGCGGATCACTGTCATGATCAAGGTCTACTATCGTCCTATTACTGCGCGAGTTGTTTATAAAAATATCTCCTAACCGTTGGGCATTCGGTCAACGTCCAGTAAGAAGAGAATGAATTGAGCTTTAAAGATCCACGGCCGTAAATTGTCTAGCGTGGAGAGATACAATACGTGGCATCGTCAAGGCCGGCTAAGTCAGGCATGATAACAGCCGTATCAAGTACAAGTGATTACAACGGATCCATTTGGCGTTGTGTACTTCTTTCGCCCTACTAACACCTTTTTTCGAATGTGTATGCTTCAGATTAACTTGTAAAATATGGAGGCGCACTGCGTCTCTTCTTAAGACATCTTCGAAAATTCATACAGATTTAAGGCTCAAGCATTTCCCCATATTTTCGAGTTTGCCGGGATCACGTGTACTGTTGGTACCACGAAGGCATTGGACGTCTAGCCCCAAACTAGTATCGTATCTTATAAACGAACTCGTAAACTGAAGCAATGTCATTTTGACGGAAAAAGTAAGAGGAAAATAACCTCTTATCATGAAAACTGACCGATGAACAACAATGAGCCTCTAGACAACGTTTTCATGGGACTAGACTGACAAGTTATGAATTTTCTTTGCATATCACACCATGAAAAACGTCGAAACTTTCGAACCTACAGCTAAATTTGTCGGAGTCACTTTTCTTATACAGTTTTCAAATCCGACCACTATATGATTTCCATGAACTGCGTTGTTTATAGTCTGAAAGGTGATTGTGTACATCTTGCAAGCCGTGCCGCTCGACCTCAAAAAAGAAACTGCAACTCACAGGGGTCTGCATCAGGGTGAAACTACATCTCGTTTATCAACAGACTTTCCCTTGATTAAATTAGACAAAAAAGGAGACAGCACAGCGTGGAAAAGTACTGTTCAGACTGCGCGCTCTTGAAGCACTTCCTTACGCTTGGAATATCGCGAAGGTAAGCAGCTCTTGAACTGTCCATCAGTCAAATACTTTAACCAGAGGTTGAATCCTTTTGGTGGCGCCTAAAACCGCAAACAGGTACCAGCAAAAAAACCGAGAAGCTCCCGTTGGTTGCAACAATGGTAGGAGTCCTAGGGTACTGAGAGTCGTACTTTGTAGGTTGTGTCTGTTCGACAGTAAACTGTCTAGGCCGTGGGCAAAGTAACTCTAGTTTCTATCGTTGACTAAATAAATGTACCAGCATTTGTTTATTGCAATTTTGAGTGCTGCCCTTATTCTACGACCAAACGCAATAAGCGGTTGCACGTGTGCCTTCACAAATCGAAATATTTTTTAGTAGTACAGTAACGGCCTGCTTCGTAGCTATCAGATTTCCTTATCCAAGCCCCCCCCC